AAATGGTGCAACTATTTAGTTTATGTAAACAATTGAATGACAAATTGAGTTTGTGTCATAATTTTGTGAAATTGTTTTGTGTAACTGTTTGGTTTATTAGAACGCATGAGTAACTATTTGGTGTATTATATGACAATTATAACTGATTGATGTAACTAATTAGTGTAATTGTGTTGTTGTAATATTAATATAAATAGAGTAAGAGAAAATAGGAAGAGAGAGAAAAATTGTTAGAAAAAATATGCTCTTATTTTATCTCTCATTGTTTGATTGTAGCCAAAATATATAGAAGGAATACAAAGGGTTTCAACTCATTAGCTATTTACTGAATGAAAATATTGTCATTTTTAAAAAATATGTACTTTAGCCCAAATAAAATTTTGTGTTGTATTTTTGCACAAATAAGTCAAAAAAATTGTACCGATTTTTAAATCACCCAAAGAATAATGCTATGCTGATCAAATTTTCTTACCAAATTTTTTATTTCAAGTGATGTGATACAATTTTTATCATCAAATAAATAGATTCTATTAATATTCAATAATAGAGATTCTGTACCATCACTTGAGATAAAAAAAACTTGCTAACCATAACACTACTGGTTCAAAAAATCAAATCTAACTCCTGTAGGCAAATTTGAAGGCCCACATGCTATCGGGCTCATTTGTGGATTTTAACTTGTCCAAGTAAGCAATTGTGGACAGCTTCTTTGAAATTTTTAAAACATTAATTATAATCACCTATTTTTGTGCGTAACTATGTAACAAACTGGATTTTTTACGGATTTGGATCTCTTGAAGTTTATTTTTCCTCTCAATAATTCTAACTTGGTGTAAAACTTAGATAGCGATCCATTTATATATTGTAGGTCCACATGATTTCATGCATATTAATAGAGGTCCCACTTATATAATAGATATTATATGAATTCAATGTGAGTGATTTACTATTGAAAATTTTTGATAAAAATTTATTAGAAGCGGTCTGTTTTTTTATTTATTTTATGATTTTGAGTTTTTGACTGAATATGATCTCTAATTTTTTTTTTTGGGAACAAAGATAATCTCCATTTGTTTGTTTTTTTTTTGAATCGAAACGATATAAATTTTATTAACAAGTGAAATCTGAAAGAAGAAATGATATCAAAAAATCCGGTGTCATTTCTTCCCAAATATCAATATTTTCACCTAATCTAGCCTTTCGAGTCAACTGGTGAGCCACACAATTTCCTGATAGTCTAACAGTGGACAAAGAATAAAAAATAAATAGGTGAAGAGACCGTTGCACATCTGCAATAATAGCGCCAATAAGAGAGAAATCTTCAGAATCATCACCAATCCTCTTCATGATTACAAATGAATCTCCTTCCAACACAATCTCATCACACCCAATTTGTCTAGCAAAAAAAACAACTTCCCTTGCAGCCATAGACTTTGTAGTTTGCACTTCTCCCAAACCAATTAACTTCTTAGACATCCAGCAATGAACAACCCCGCTTCATCTCGAATAACCACCCTTACCCCAATAGCACCCTTTATGTCAAACACTATCCCATCAAAGTTAACCTTAAAGGATCCAGATCTAAGAGGAACCCAACGTTCTGGTGCACTTTCCTGGATAGCACCCTGACCAAAATCCAAGGCTTGCTCATACTGCGAAATAAATTCCATTGTCATATGACAATACACCACAGGGTAATTTCGTCTCTGCTGGAATAAAACCTCATTCCTGTTACGCCAAATATACTAAAAAAAACACCAAGAAAGTTGCACCAAGTTTTGGCTTAAGCTGCAAAATAATTTCCCAAAACCAATCAACAAAATTCCTAGCAACTCAATATATTAAGTGACAAAGAGGTCTTATATTCCACACCTGTCTCGTCCATGGACATTCTTTAATAATATGCATTATAGTTTCAAAACCCTCCCCACACACACTATATGGCCCATTTGGTCTAATTTTTCTACACTACAAATCTTCATTAGCAGGAGGAGCATTTAAGATCATCCTCCATGCAAAATCTTTACTTTACTAGAAACATTTTGATTCCATAAAGCACCCCAATTACCCCTAGAATTTGATGAGGAACTAGCACCTGTACAACCTGAATGGAACAAATTTTGCTCATACGCTAAATGGTACGCACTCCGAACTGAAAATCTTCTATTGGTATTATAATGTCAAATTAACTTATCTTCCATAGGCGACACACCCAAAGGGATCCTTTTGATAACCTCTGCTTCATGCTCCAAGAAGATAGCATCATTCACAAGGATTTTCCAACAATGTGAAACTGGATATATAAGCTCACTAACCTTAGCGTCATCCTCCAACAAATTCTTTGGGCTTACCACTCGGGAAGTAGATGGGGTAGGAATCCATCTATCTTTCCATATATAAATTTTAGACCTATCACCAATCCTCCAACGCGACCCAGCTTCAATGATCATCCTTGATTCTAAAATACTCCTCCATGTATATGAAGGTTTGTATCTAATCTTGACATTTATAAATGTCGTCGATGAAAAATACCTCGCTTTTAAAATTTTGTGCAAAAGAGTATGCGTCTCATGATGAATTCTCCGAGCCTGTTTTGCTAACATTGTCATATTAAAAGTCCTTAAGTCTCTAAAACTCATCCCACCAATTTTCTTCCCTTTACACATGTTAGCTCATTTAACTCAATGAATCTTCCTCTCCCTCTCCTTTTGGCCCCACCAAAAATTAGAGGCCAAAGACTCTAACTTGCTGCAAAAATAATCTGAAAGTTTGAAACATCTCATAGCATATGTAGGAATCGATTGAGCGACTGTTTTTATCCCTTGTAACTTCTTCCACACTCTATCCCTAATATCAGCAAAAACTTCTCTCTTCGATTTACCCACTATAGAAGGCAGCCCAATGTTCTTCTCATGTGTTGGGTAGACATGATAACTGAATAATGAGATCCTTGTTTCAAGAATAAAGCCATTGGGATCTAATAATATGACTAGTATGCGTTGATCTAATTATGTTATTAGCTAGCATGATTAAATAATATAATTATAGTTGTTAATTTGTTAGAACTTTTTTGTTAGATTATATCAATTGTTGCATAATTATGCAAAAATATCTTGACAAAATTATTTACTCCCAAATGAATTATTAATCTTATTACCAAGTTTCTATTTTTTTATTTTGTTTCAACGATCAGGAATTGTGGGTCAGCTTATGCTCAACTTTACTTAAGATTCAAATTTAAGACTTTGAGTTTACAATTCATCTTATGACCACTTGATCTACCCCTTGAAGTTAAATCACGTCTCTATTTGTTGGGACTACAATCCCAAGATAAATATTTGAAATTTAACATTGGGAAAGAAAGAATGCTACTTTAACACAATGTTAGTTGATATTTATATTTATGATGACATCATTGAATAATGATATTTGAATTTAATTTGTTAATTTTATATGCTGACCTTAATCACTCTATATAAGATTAACATAGCGGGTCTCACTATTAATTTGAGACCAATTACCAGTTCAATATATAATGTCTAAGATCAAGAAATAAGATTAGTAAATATTAATGTTTGTTTCTTTGTTTGTATATTCTTTTGTGGATTATGAAATATTAATATTTTCTAAACAAAAAATTAAATAAATAAAAGGTTAATAAATAAAATTAAAATAATATTATTCTTTGTAAAATCATGAGACATGTTAGGCTTAATCTTGACATAAAGCATAAACGGAAATAAAAAAAAGGAATTTGGAGGTCGGTACCTAAGCCCCATCAAATTCTAAAAAAAACTCACTCGTCAATTTTCTTTTGAAATAAGTCTCTATAACTAATGTCTTTTTACAATTGCAAAAAATAACGACAATGTCATCACTTAATTTAGACACCTATTCAAAAAAACTACGTTATCATAATATACACACTGCAACAAAAATCGTTTTTTGTGACGATTTTGGTAAGACATGTAAGCTAAAAAAAATAGGTAAACAATTATATACACACACACATATACACAAACAGACACACATACTTTCGAACTAAAAAATAACAGGTACGCAATAATTGTTAGTCAGGTACATTAGAATACGGATCGTCACACAAATACACTAAAATACAGATCGTTAATGTACATTTTTTTCTATAAACACAGATCATCAGACATGTACAATAAAACACAAATCGTCAAACATGTACACTAAAACACAAATCATTAATTTACCTTATTCTCCATAACACACAAATCGTCAGACAGGTACACTAAAAAACAAATCGTCAACATAGATCGTTAATGTACCGTCTTCTCTGTAAACATAAATTGTCAGACGTCATCATAATGTCCAAATTGTTTGGTTCACGTGTTTGAATTTCGAAATTGATAGACAATACCTCAAAAATATCAATAACAAAAACAAAAAAAATATATCTAACTAGATTTTAGGCTGAAATAATATGACGAAAACAAAATGATAATAAAAATCAGTAACTAATCAATCCCTTAAAATTCAGGCTAACATAGAGACCGCATGTAAGTTTTTTTAAAAATGAAAGACTTTTTTTTATACTAAAAATTCGATAATATTAAAATTAATTTAGTCACTAAAAAAGGGACCCTAGCCTAATTTACTTAAATAAAAAATTGTTCAGAGTTTTAAAGGCTGGATAGCCCACAAATAAAATGTGCATCACGTGTATCAATGGGTCATATTTAAATTAGATTTTATGGACATGAAATTCAATTTTTAGATTTTCGGTATGAATTTTATCAGATTATTCACAATTTTTTATATATTTTATATTTAAATTGGTTAAAAATCTAAAATTCACTAAAAAAAAATTGATTCAATCTGAATAGATAAATTAGATCTTGAGTTCAATTGAAACTTATCAAATAATGACCGAATTGCATTTTGTAATTCATTCGAAGTAACTTTTAGGTACCGTATACCCTTTGATATAGATTATAGACACCTTACTCTACAGCTACTTCTCCATTTCAATGTCTGACTCTAAGTTGACTGGAGAGAGACATGTTGACTCTAAGACTCAGCTGTACCCTTATCCATCAACCGATATATCTATCGGTTGGCATTTGAATTTTCACTCGTTTTAACTCTCCTTCCTCGTTCTTTCCCATCTCCACAATAAAAACTAGGTTAACAGACATCTCTACCACATAAACTAGGGTTAACAGATCTACAAGAAGCAGATATCACTTATGCTAGTGTCCTCCCTTCCTTGATGAGTCCCAACTCTCTTGATTGGGGTATGTTTCACATGAATCAACATCAAAAAAACATGAACCTGGGAGGCATTATGGATTGTGTAGATGACGACCTTGATGAAAGTGATATGATTCCCTCAGAGAAATATGATGAAGATGAAGCAAATCTTGAAGAGCTTATCAATTATGTTAAGAACTGCAACATTGAAGAAGAAATAATAGAGCCGGAAAGGAGGAGAGAGAATGATATCTATATGATTCAGCGAAAAGATGCCTTGAGAATGGAAAAATTATCGTCCTTGCATGCGAAAGCATCCCGTGATGCTTACCAAAAAGGAGATTATTTTACTGCCCAAGGGTTTTCACTGAAGGCTCAGGCAGGACGAATGGTGGCTGAAATACTTCATGCCAAAGCAGCTAAAGAAATCTTTAATATCAAAAACCGTAACAATGATATATGGAAGTTGGATTTGCATGGTCTTCATGCAAAGGAGGCAGTGCAAGCCCTAGGGGAACATTTATATATGATTGAATCTCAAGAATTTGTATCACTTAGGCAAAAAAGAAGATTTTTATTAGTGATAACCGGAAGAGGCAATCATAGTCGGGGACAACCTGTCCTTCCAAGCGCTATCAGAAATTTTCTCAATGAGAATCAATATTATTATGACGATTCAAGGCCTGGGGTGATCAAAGTACAACCCAAATTCAGTCCGGGGATCGCAGCCGATGAATGCTTGACCGCCAGCCATTTGCAAGAGCAGAAATATTTTCCTCCGTTGCAGTTGCATGCATATGTAATGTTGTAGGAGAGGTTAGTTCTAATAGAAAACCGAATATTATTAGTATAGGCTGTATAGCACTAGTTGGGCCTAATTGTTGGGTTATTTTATTGTTATTGCTGGATTAATAATGTAAATATAAGTCATAATAAAATCCAGTCACCCATATTTTGATTTTGGGTGTAGAATTCTAATAATCTCTTCCCCCAATTCGTTCATATAAAAGCTGAATTGTACCCATTCAAGGCATCTCACTGAATGGTTGAGTATTAGTTCATGCATGAATATTAATAATGACTATGTTTCGTTTGAAAAAATCAGGTAACAAAGGTCACCATCCTTTATTTTATTTCTAAAATCTTGCAATATGTTTCTTGAGTTTGTATCGCACTTTATTCAAAGTCTTGAAAATTCATCTTAGCAACAATGGAGTTCGATATATTACAAAAATATAAATTCATGTGATTCTACACACTGCAGATACAACCTAAAATTGTATTGTGCTGTTAATATTTTCTCTCTCATTCAATGTACTTCCAAGTTCCATTATGAACACCAGTTGTACTTTGGTAATTATTATTTTGTATTATAATAGTCTAATTACCATTTACAATTTTTTTTTATTTAATTTTTTTTGATTGTGAAAACTGAGATACAGAGAGAAGGGTTTCTAAAAAATTAAATGTTCAAATATAAAATCTCCAAAATAAAGGAAGCAGTCCAAGTCGGTGCCATTGATGTCATGTGAAACGCAAGTTTTGGCTGCTGTTGGTATGAATTTAACTTCTAGTTCTCAAATAAATATTGAGTGTAACAATTACAATACGTCGACATTGTTCTATGATGTAACCGTCCTATGTTACACGGGGTAGTTATTATCCTATATGGAAGAATAGTTATTTGAATAAGTGAAATACACTTTTTCCATTTCATGAATTATCATTAGATGATTACACAATGTGACAATGCTGATGTAATGTAACCGTTACACCCGATATTTATTTACTCGTACTTCTGCAGTGTAGCTCACGAGTAACTGTGTTGACATCCCTTGTCATTTGTAGCATACTGCATTCTATATGTTGAACAAGTATGTGCTTCAGATCCTTCATTAGCATGGAGATGGACCATTGTAGCATACTGCATTCTATATGTTGAACAAGTATGTGCTTCAGATCCTTCATTAGCATGGAGATGGACCAGTGAGGTTCTACATCATGTATAACAGTTTGTGAATCTCCTTCCAAAATGACCAAGCTCCCAGATTGCTTGCAGCTAAAGTTTCTACAACCAGGGGATTTGTCCTGGAGACTATTGACAGGTTAGCTGCTGCAACCTGCAACACAGCTGCATCAAAGTTTGATGTTTATCTCTCCCTCATTTGGTGGTACCCGGTGGTTCAGCTGTAGACATGCAGCTTGTTTTTGGATACCTTTCGATTGTAGTCGAGGGCGGAGCTAAGATTTTTTTTTATTCTGGGCTAAGTTAAACATTCATACTACTAACAAAATACAAATGTAAACTCATAAACATATATTCAATAATACAAATCTAAACTCATAAATACTTACTAATAAAATTGGACTCTTGGATCATTCCTAGAACAAAAAATATCTATTATTGAATCTGTATTAATTGTTTAGAACTTTTGTTTGAGATTGAAGATTTTAAAGTTCAACAGCAGTAGGAATTATACGAATGTTGATGTTTCTACTAGATTCAAAGGTTGAAGACTAAAATCAAACCCACAAAACCCAGTACCCAGAGCAAGTTCCACCTGACTTTTGATTTGAAACAGCTGAAACCAATAAAGAGAAACTTCTTAATACGCAATTCAAAGGTGACCTCGAACTCAGAAAGCAGGGCAATGTCTCAACAGAGATGGAGCCCTTTAAGAAACGGCCCATCTACAAAGTACCAACCTTCATTGCAGATCAAAACAAGAATGTCTACAGTCCTCATGCAGTCTCATTCGGCCCTTACCACCACGGTGAGCCTCCTTTGAAACCAACGGAGTCTCACAAGAAGCGTTCTCTCCTTCATTTTCTTGAGAATAGAGCAGAAGTTCAAGTTTCGCCAAAGTGGAAAAAGAGTTGAAAGATTCATATGATTCACTTGATCCTAAGTGGCAAAGTGACAAAGAAGGGTTCTTGAAGCTGATGATTGTTGATGGCTGTTTCCTGCTGGAAATTTTCCGGGCAGCCATTCAAACTCCGGCCGATTACGACGCTGAGGATCCGATTTTCAGCAATCACGGGAAGCTCCATATCATGCCGTTTATCAAGCGGGACATGTTGGTTTTGGGGGAAGTGACCGACTGATTTGGGGAAGTTTGCAGGTGGGATGGGTTGGGTTGGGTTGGATGAAATTTTTTTATTTTTTGGGGTGGGCTGGTACTCGGTGGAAAATTTTTTTTTTTTTTACTCCGGGCTTCAGCCCACCAGTAGATCCGCCCTTGATTGTAGTATGCTGCTTTAGCTTGCTGAACTCTGTGCGAATGAGGAATTAAAGCTAAGGATCTATCAACATAGACCATGGCCAATCAAGGAGAAACAACTTGTACTCAAGCAATGGACTCTGTCAAAAGCTATCTCCAAAATGGAGTTCAACACATCGTTATTGTGCATCAATCGCACAACCTCCCTCCTGAAATGATCACAGTGGAAAAGGCCATTACAATACCTTCAAAACCACTGTCCAATATCACATCTCCAACCCAAGCCGATACCCTGGCCTTTTAAGCTAGGACTCACCACAACCCAATACTCCGCGGTTTAACCCAAACTTAAAAGGCTCACAGACATAGCCCATTTAAACTAAACCGAAGCTATGAATCACAATCCCATTTAAATCCCAATTCCTCCAAAATGTTCCCAACTCTGTTTCTTCACTCACCTCTCACGATGTAATCCATCCCCTCCTTGAAAATGCCCTAATCACTAACAACAACCAACCAACTACTCAAAACCTCTCGTGCCAACACCAACTGCCATATACCTCGAATCCACCACAACCATCGCTGCTCGCGCTTACGATCCTTTCATCCCAGCCAACAATAATCCCACCACACACCTTGACAATCCTTGATCAAGGTTTGGCAAATGTCTTCAACAGCTGATCACTATATACAATCACTAAAAAGCATGTACATCCTATATCTTACAAACTCAAAATAGCAACAATATTTGCAAGATGCGAGTGGCAAGTCGAGGGGAAGAGCAACACAAGGACACTCACATACAGAATAACCAGCACTATAAAGCTTAATATCAGTCTTTAAGACCTTTTTTGACAAAAGCTACCAGGACCAGTAACATTTCTCAAACCAATGGACTCAGGCATATACAAGTCCCTATGACCGAATGAAGTACTACCTTGGAGTCCATGAGATGGAACGGAGGCAACTCAAACTTGTTTCGCTCCCTCTAGAGGCTTCGGTCTCCAAAATCTTGGCTTAATCAGTCAGCCTTTTTATCTCTCTCATGAAAAGCAGGTTAAACATTAAACATTTTACCCGGTGCTGGCAAAGAAATCATTTCAAATGGAATATGCAACATAAAGAAACGCAGCACAGCCACCTAAGAGATACTTTAGTAGTGAATCTCATATAACTAAATTTCATGCTGTTATCTCATGAACATTTTCTGACTCATTTTTGGAATCCTTCACAAAAAAGTAGCAAGAAAAATTGGATATCAATGGAGAAAATAATGATGTGAAAATGAATGCTATCAAAGTTAAATCCAAAATTCAGTACTAACCAACAATATGAGGATCTTAACGAAACCCATGTGTCTGACTAGCATATCATTACGTAAGTTCCACTAGAAGATATTCAACCACATGACCATTTAGATACCAGTCAACTATTGTTGTTTAATAATCGCAACAATAAAGATTTAGTAGATGACTAAATTATCAGATTATAAATACAAGAAACATGTAAACAAATGCATAAATTCATGTGTAATACACCAGGTAAACATAAATTGACATAATCAACAATAAAATAAACTCCGGTGTCCAATTAGGGCCGTATCTAGTTGCAATGATATTACCAAGCCATCAAATTTCATTGGCCTCTTGTACAAAAAAAAGTAGAAAAATCATTGGACTAAGAATTCTTTGACCTTCTACCTAATCTAGGTCTAACAGAGCCCAAGTTCGAGTTTGGAATTTTAAATGAAGCTCTAAAACTACGTGGTGTGATAAATACCAAAACGTAATCATCGGACTATATAATCTGAAAATTCAGTGTACCTTGTACAAATAGCTACTTAGTGGAAACACAAAAGAAATCAGAAACATAGTAACAGTAAAAAGAGAGACAAAAAAACCTAACTTCACATATCTAGATACAAAAACCTGAGAAATTGAGTTGGCAAGCATGATCGATTTGAGATTGCATAGGGAGGAGGGCACCTTCAATGTATTTGCACAAACAGCTATATATACACACATACAATATATAAATACACACACACATATACATGGGAGAGAGAGAGAGGCAAAATGAAGTTACTCGCAGCCATAAAAAATTCTAAATATTTGGGGGGAGAATTTGGAGAAGGTTGACTCTGGCTTCTCTAGTTGCAAATACAGGGTTTCCACTTTCCACAACGCAAGGCTACCAGAATGTGTTAGCTAGACTAGTGCATTGAAGTTTGGGCCCATATTTTTGTAACTGACCGGATCCTTTGGGCCCATTTCATGGCCTTTTTTATATTGGGCCCCTTTAGGTGTTTTAACTTGGTAAAAATTGGAGGTGAGTCCCCTAAATATACTTGTTTAGAGATAAGTCCGGTAAAGAAATTTACAAGGGACTAAGTTCATATTTAAAATTATATGTAATGACTTAAGTCTGTTTTTTTTTTTATCTCAAAAGCACCCCTAACGGTGTTCATTTTGGTTAATTATGGAAAGTCAAAGGTAAGATATTTGAGATATATATGGTAACAGATTGTTCAGTTTTTATGAAAACCGAATATATCATATTATGATGCTTGAATTAAGACAAAATTATTGTGCTATTAATTCAAATTCAGATCAAAAGTTTCCATTAACGATTCAAATTCAAGTTCAAAATATGGATCACAGAACATTAAAATAAAACCAAACGTTGAGGGATATATGTTGAACATACACCTTTAATTTTCAAAGTAAAATCAAAAGTTGTGATCAGTAACGTATCCACAGTAACATCCACAATACTCAAGCAAATCAATACATTGAAATTATGAAATTATTTTTTCAGTTATCACATAGTAACATGATCTATTTCATGTTATTTTGAACAAATGAATTTTGAATGTCTTGAACAACAAAAAAAGCAACAAAAATGTTCACATGTAATTATATAACACATTAATTTAGTAAAAGCAACATGAACAGTTCCATCAAGTTACATGATATACACATAGTAACATAAGGATAGAAACATTAAAATTATTTATTAAATCACAGAAACATCATCTTGAGTAACATCAGACAAACACAATTACAATACACATGTTACAATTTTATGGTTTGAAAATTACCCTATACATAAAATTTTCCAACCCCAATATTCACTTTTTTCACTTTTAATTGCAAACTTTTTATACATATATTATGCAACATAAACTTATAATTTTTCGCCGTAACATCAAAGTATTGTGCTCAGTAACACATTGACTTTCTCAAATTATAAGGCTATATTGTGTTCACAATAACATCAAATTTTGAAATATTATAGTAAAAATGCAATTCAAAAATTGAAATTTTATAAAATTTATAATAATAACTTTGCCAATGGAACTTGAAGAGTAGAATCGATTTTTGCTCTTATGGTCTGTAACCTCTTTGAATTTTGAATTGAAGTGGTTTGGGTAATGATGGTTAAGGGTTTTCCAAGAAGGAAACCCAAAAAGATTTGAGGAATTTTGCCTGATTTGTAGGATAAAATGAAAGGAAAAGTTTTTGTGTAGAGTGGCGAGAATGGAGAGTTTCTCCGTTTTATATAGAAACGACAATTTAGACGCCGTTTGTGGTTTTTCAAAAAGTAAGGGTACAATAGTAAACTTGACAAAAAGTAGACTTATAACCAAATAAATTTTTTTCCAAGACTTATCTCCAAACAAGTCAATCTAGAAGGACCGGCCTCCAAATTTCCTTTTAACTTGTCCAAATCTCCAAACATAGACAGTCTTGCGGGTTTTTTGGTTGTGAGTATAATTTTTTAGATTTATTTGAAGAAGAATGTATGGATAAGTTGTTTACTCTATTAAGTTTAATTTTAGTAAAATATATTGTGTTTAGAGTACAAAATTCAAATAAAATCAAATTTTTTTACCTAAATACCATCCCTTGAATTATGCATTCTTGATTGACATTTATATATCTAATCAAATAAATAAAGATTTTATTAGACTCTCTCACTATCTCTCCCCTATTTTCTCTGTTTATCTATCATTGATAATTTATTTTCTTTTCAAATATGTAAAGATTTGATTTATTTTTTCATCTTTCTCTCCTATTTTCTCTCTCTCTCTCTCCCCCTATTTTTTCTCTTTCTCTCTCTATTTATATCAACATTACTGCATCATAATTACACTAATCAGTTATACCAATCAGTTATAATTGTCCTATAATATACTAAACAGTTACACCAAACAATTATACAAAATTATGATACCAACTCAATTTGTCATTTAGTTGTTTACATAGACTAAATAATTGCACCATTTAATATTGCGTCATTTAGTAAATTTTTTTGTGTAATGATAAATTAAATTTGATGTATATAATTGGTGTAATCATGTCATGATACTAAATGGTGTAACTCTTTGATTTGTGTAAATAACTGAATGACACATTGAGTTGGTGTTATAATTTCGTATAATTGTTTAGTGTAATAGTTTAATTTAATGGAACACATAAGTAACAGTTTTGTGTATTATAGGATAATTATAACTAATTGGTGTAACTAATTAGTGTAATTGTGTTGTTGTAACGTTGATATAAAGAGAGAGAAAGGGAGAAAATAAGGAAATAAGGGAAGAGAGAGTGAGAGAGAAAAAAAAGGGGAGAGAGAGATAAAAAAATTAAATCAAATTTTTACATACTTTTAAAAAATAAATTATCACTGTGAGAGAGAGAGAGAGAGAGAAATAGATAGAGATAGAGATAAAATAGGGAAGAGAGAGTGAGAGAGTAATGGAGAGAAAAAAAGGAGAGAGAGAGAGAGAGAGAGCAATTGAGTAATAAATGGTCTTTTAGTCTTTTTTTAAAAAAAATAACATTTACAGCCAAATAAATCTAAATTTTTGTATCGACTTCCAAATTACCCCAGTCTTGCATGTTCTTTGAAAGTTTTCCATTGTCGTGGCAATCAAGTTTTAATACCTTTTTTGTGGTCCTCAGTTTAATGGGTAATTTGCGATCAAAAAAAAAATTATGGGTAATTATGGAACATACTGGATTTTGTTTAAGTAATTTTGATCTTTTTCGGCACATGTTTTTCAATTTTTTTAGTGGTGATTGCTCGGGGTCACAAAAAATCCCTTGGGCCAATATATAAATAATAGGTTCTAATTAAACGTATGAATATTCATGGGGGTTCCATTTGCACAAGGGATCCCACTTAATTCACAGCGTTTGATCTAATATTGAGAAAACACAATGAAAAATATAGTAGAAGGGGTCGAAATATAATAAAAGAAGATATCCTCGTTTTAAGGATAATCCCACTAGAATCTAATAATATGACCAAACATGGTTGATTTAATAATATATCAGCTGATATGATCAAATAACATTAATAAAATTATCAGATATTTTGCCAGACTATTAACTCGCAAGAGTATTATTGTTGTTTTAACCATGGCTATTATCATCTAGGTAAAAGACAGAATACAAGTGTACTTGAAATAGACTTTGGGAGAAGGAAAAACTCTTTCAATGGTTCAATATTTGATTTAGAATACTGAAAAATAAAATTTTGAAAATTAACTGTGTCAAAACTAATGAAATATTTATAATCACTTATGACATACGTTGCACTTAAACATATTTAAATAAAAAAATTTTATAAATATTTTAAATTATATTTATATTTTAATTGAAAATAAATTATGTTCTGAATAATTAATTTTTAATTTAATTATTGACTTATTTACCTTTTTTTGAGTACCAAATCTGTTATTTTTTGGTTATTTCTTATGCTACTTTTGATATTTTCTCTTTTATTTATAGTGAAGTTTCATTGTAAGATTGTCATTTATTTTCACATCTAATGTATTAAATATTTATTATATTTTTTTTGCCAAAGAAGTTAATTAAATTATAAACTATTGGTTGTATTATAATATTATGATATTATTGCATATAAAAAAATTAAATATGATACATATTTGACTGTAAAAGCCGATCTAACAATTACATGTATATAATAATGATCTATATATATACTAATAAGAGTATTTTAAGATGACAATTTTTTTAATCTCTATTTTACACTTATAAAAAATTGCAAAGATTAATATATCATGTCACAATTAAATATCTAAATTATCATCACATCTTTAAATATTTAAAATTTAAAATTATCTATAATATCTCTTTTAATTATTTATTTTCTATGTATAAATATCAGTTTCTATGAAACTTTTTGATTAACTATATTGCCCTTAATAATATATATCATTATATTTTAGATAAAGTGTTCAAAAAGTCTTCAAAAACTCCATCAATCTAATATTACTTATCTCATATGCAAATATAACGTTATGTCTACATATGTGTATTTTCTTTTTCATCGAAAAATTTTACTCTTTTATTTCTAATATTACTTATCTCATAATTTTTGGCTGTTATTGGTATGAATTCAGCTTGTAGTTCTTGATTAAATATTGAATATAATGATTACAAGTGGTTGAGAAGAAAAAAGACATTATCAAAACCAATGAATGCTTCCTCTTCCTGTTTGATATCACACTTCACGCGGTTTATACTTCCATTACGAAACACCTCTTTAGCTATTTCTTGTTTTTTTTTTTTTATAATTAGAACAAAAAATTTTGAGAATATACAAAATTTTCATAATATTATAATAGAATATGAGCAATTAAAAATTATGTTTATTAAATTTGAGATAATATTTAATTTAGATACGCATACATCAAATTTATTTTATTAATTTTTGTATACAAAAACTATTCACGTGCAATATACGCGATGCATTGCTAATGTTACAATATATAGATATATTAAATAGAAAATAGAGATATAACATTAAAAGAATTATCTACCCTATGGCACGGCCTTTTTTTTTTGGGTCTGGCATGCGCTTCATAACATTTGGTTCATAAATAATCCATGCCTTCAAGGTTTTTATATTTTTCAATTAATTCAAATTGTTAGTTTAGACAATGAAAAATAATTGAAATTAAATAAAATGATCACAGATTTATTGAAAAGAGAAAATTATCTAGAATTTGAAATTCTTTCCTCACACCAAAAAATTCTTCATTCTTCTTTTAAAGAAAAAAAATGTGAAGGGTGATCTTCTCTTGTTGTAGAATTTGAGATTATGTGATTTGAAAATAAATATTTTTTGTAATTTTTTAAAATCAAAATTGACAACTTGACTTAATTTATAAATATTTAAACTTTGAGAAAATAAATTGTTGGAATTAAAATTAGGTAGAATTGGTTGAATGGGAGCTAAACTTGGATAGAATATATTATAATTTTTTATTTTTTTTTTTACTGAGGAGGCCCTAACATTTATTTGGCTGTTTCCCGCTGTCAGACAATGTCTATAGGCTTAAGAAGTTGATAAAGACAAAGAGATCATCTCAACCAATCAAATGCTTCCTCCTCCTGGTTGCTTTCCTAAAAGGTAGTGTGGGTGGAGATATGTATCACACTTCAGGCGGTTTATACGTCCATTTCGAAACACCACTTTAGAGATTTCTTCAGACTCTAATCTATCTACTCAGTTTGATCTTGTGACTATTTCTTTGATTTCTATTTTTGCAATAATTCAAATCTACACAATGATGATGGCTTCAGGTAATATGATGAGTCAAGCATGGCGAGATCTTCAACTGTCACCTGCTTGGATGGTCACTCATTCATCGGTAAACCCTAGACCTCCTTTTTGGGTTATCAAAGAAGACGAACTTTTTCATCTTTATGAAAATCCCGGAATGATTGATACTTACCAAGACGCTTTTATGTTGGACGATATGATTATGACCCAAAATTTTGAGAGGAATGAAAATATTGATGTTGTAAGCATTGATGACCTGGTTGATTCTCTTAACGAGTGCCGGATTGAAGAAAAGGAAACAGATTACTGAATCGTCAAGATGCGTTCATGATAGACAAATTTAGCATGTCTCCATTCAAAGGCATCCCGTGATGCCTATTTGAAGGGAGATCATCTTTCTGCGCGGGTATTTTCCCAGATGGCACAAGAAGAAAAACAGGCGGCAAAGGTTCTTAATGATAAAGCTGCAAAAGAAATTTTAAGGATCGAAAATTGGAACAATGATATCTGGAAGTTAGATTTACATGGCCTTCATGCGATGGAGGCCGTTCAAGCCCTAGAGGAGCACTTGCAGATAATAGAATCTGAAGCGTCAATATCACTTAGACAAAGACAGAGATCCTTGCTAGTTATAACGGGAAGAGGGGTTCATAGCCGAGGACAAGCTGTTCTTCCAACAGCTACTAGGAGCTTCCTCAGTGAAAGAGGATATCATTATGATGACTCAAGGCCTGGGGTTTTCACAGTACGACCCAGATTTCATTGCTAGTGAATGTTGGACAGTCGCTGATGTACAAGAGGGGAACAATAATTCTGTTTTTTCTCTTGCAGTTGCATGTAAATAGTATACTAGTATATTGTTATAGTTGAATTAATTGTGAATCCTAATGGCAGATGGATCCAGTAGTAAATTAGATAAACAATTTATGTACAAATGGCATCACAGATGAAAATAATAATAATAGAAACATTTTCATACCTATAGCTAATTCTTACATGCAAGTACTTTTTTAATTTTTGAATCCAATGTCAAAATCTAGAGTTTTTTTTTCCTATCATCTGTCAAGCTTATTCTATCAACCTGTGTCTACTTCGAATATGGGTGAGGCCAGCATTTCAGGTTTTTGATCAACAAGAGCACTGTCTTCAGACGTCCTTCTTACCTGCCTTCTGTTAATGCAAGTACAAAACTAACCAATGTTTTCATATCTTCTCATTGTTTCTTCCACTATATGTTGAATGTAACTATCTATAACAAAAATACAGCCATCCCCACTTTCCAACGGGGGTTAGAATTCGATGATCCCTTCCACCTATTCGTTTGTATAAAAACTGCATTACATTCAAATCCCCCAAACCTAACCAAGTCATCTCACTGAATGATTGAGCGTCGGTTCTGGCATTCCACTTCACTCAGATTCTTGAAAATGAACCTTATAGCAACAATATGGTAATGGTTTGAGATACAAAAAGAAAATACAGATTCATATGATTTCACACACTGCATATGTACGTAGTGCTTTCACCAGTAAATTTTCCCTCTCTCACAGTAGACTTCCAAATTCCACCATTGTAATTTATCTGTATTTTGTAACAGCTTGATCAACATTTACAATCACTAAATACCATGACAATCATTATACAATACGAAACTCAAAATGGCACTAACATTTGCCTGATGTAAGAGGCAAAAAAGCAACGAGGGAGAGCAACGAAAGGATACTCACATACAGAATGATTCGGGAAAATTTTGCCTAATATCAGTCTTAAGACCCTTGTATAGATGGCGGTATTGGGTGTAATGGCGTAAATATTGAATGTCACTGACGTTAGCAATGCTGACGTGGTATCACCGATCAATAATAAAACATCAAGTAGATAAAGTAAACTTCACTTAGATAGTTATTTGCTTAAATAGAGTAAGAAAGGGCAATTATTTGCTTGCATAGAGGTTGGTTATTAATTTTAATAGGGTCCATTTATTTATTTGTTTTAATATTATTGATTAATGATATCACGTCAACCTTACCCCATCTTATCACTATTGTAATGAATATTTACTCATAATGGTGACACCACGTTATTATTGACAAATAATGTCACCATCCAATAATAAATCTATAAATGGACAAATTGAATCTCAATTGGAATGACATGGGTGATTACTTGAATATGTGGGATCCACCTGTTAACTTGTTATATTTTTGTTGAATGATAACATGACGTGTAAATGAGGACACAATCTCACCATTACACCTAATATTTTTTTTGGTGATTGGAGGGCGCCTAATGGGGCCATGGCCCCTCACTCACATTTTTAAAAAATTTTATAACACCTCATAAGTTTTTAAAAATTCTTATATTTTCCCTCAAGTTCTAAATATTTTTATACATGGACAATTCACTTGGCGCATTTAAAAGGTCTGATGAATTGATACTTAATAGCGAGATGAGGGATGTAATCCATAGATGAGTCATGATTTTATAACATATGATATTTGGTTGGATGAGTTTAATGATCTAATGATAATTTATATATTTAAATACAAAATAACATCTTAGTCTTTATAAGTTTTTAAAAGGGTAAAATAATGAATCAAAATTTTTTCATGTTAAGGTATTTATATTAATAGTATAGATGTAGATGCCTAACGTAACCATGGAAATTTGCATTTTTTTGAAATGTAAAAATACCAACTTAATTTTTATACTCAAGTTTTTTTCATAAAAACATGCATTTGGATGGTACATGTAATTAATGGAAAGTGAATTAAATTTTTTTTTATTTCCATTGCAAAATAACTATTTTTTAGAGCAAATGTAAATAAGAACTCATGCATGTTAAATTTTCAAAAACAAATGAGATGTGATTAAAATATGTAGAGAAAAATAGTAATATTTAAATGAGAAAATTTAGCAATGTAAAAAGGATTTCATGCATGTTAAATTTTCAAAAACAAATGCGACATTATTAAAAAATCGAGAGAAAAATAGTAATATTTAAACGAGAAAATTTAATAAGACACTAAGAGTTATCATTACTTATTGGATGATGAGCTATTCCTACACAATTCGTTTTTGATCTTCTTTGCGCTATAACAAAAATAATCAAGTAAAAAAAATCAAACTCAGATTAAAAGGGCTTCTAGTTTAATCTAAGAAAAAAGTTACGGTGCATAAAAATTAGGTGACAGACAGTTAATTGACAAATCTATTCTCATTCCGATTATATTAGGAGAGAGAGAGAGAGAGAGAGAACATGGTTTGGACAACCAGCTCAGTGGCCTATGCCTAGGGTCGGCCCTGATTCAATGGAGGTTGTTCAAGCCCAGAAGAGCACTGATAGAATCGGAAGCGTCAGTTCTGACATTTTTCCCAAAATATCTGCATCTGTTATACCTGATCCACACTCGTTTCAAATGAATAGCAGGCATATAAGTTGTCACAAATAACTCAAAAAAATAAAAAGAAAAGGACAAGAGCCATGACATATTGAATAGTTTTCTTTTGAGAGAATTGGGTAACAGATATAACTACCAGGTATTTCATTCGAAGATCTCGCATTTTGTTTTACAAGTATGCATTCCACTTCACTCATATTCTTAAAAATCTACCATATATCAACAATATGGTTTGAGATACAACAGATTCACATGAATCACTCACAGTAGACTTCCAAATTACACCATGTACAAGATCAATGATAAACAAGAAGCATTTGAAAACTGAAATTTGGCAATTTATCTATATATTGTAACAGCTTGATCAACATTTACAATCACTAAAAACCATGACAATCATGATATCATACAAACTCAAAATGGCACCAACATTTGCCAGATGTAAGAGGCAAAAAAGGAAACGGGGGAGAGAAACAAAAGGACAGTCATACAGATTTGGGAAAATTTTGCCTAATATCATTCTTAAGACCCTTTCCTACTACAGCTACCAGGACCTGTGGCATTTCTCAAACTCCCTGATTCGGGTATATACAAGTCCCTATGACCAAATGAAGGGCTACCTCGGAGTCCACGAGATGGAACATTGCGAGGGGATATTGAAATTGGCTCGCTCCCTCTGAAGGCCTCGGTCTCCAAGTTCTTGGCTTCATCAGTCAGCATCTTTAACTGTTTCATTACAAGGTGATCAAACATCAAGCATTTTAAGTAGATGCAGACGCAAAATAAAAGTCAAGCAACACTGGTTGTTTGGCGCCTTATGCATAATGGGTTGAACCCACTATATTTTGGGCCTTCAGGTTTTTTGTATAGCAAAAAAGGACTGTGAGGTTAATTTTGTCATAAGGAAAGTTTATAGCTGTGTAGCACATTTAACATGCAAAAAAATCACCAAGGTGGTCCAGAAATTTATGCATTTTTACCTGGCACTGTAAAATGTGTGTAAGATTGAAGAGAATGATGATTAAATGCCATCAGTATAACGTACATGAACCTTGGAATGTTTTTGTGGGCAAATCAATCACAACTTTTTAGGATATATTGTAACATCCTTTCTGTAAGAGATCATCATAGCTAAAAAGTTTACAAAAATTATTTATAAAAAAAAAAGTATTGGGATAGGGGATATTTCATTACATCATTTCAGTGAGGCTGATAAAATACATTAATATTCAAGTACCCGGATTTCATTTTCTCTCAACCGATCCTGGAGAGCGTTTATGGCAGGACTTAAGCTGCAATTGAAATAAAAGCAGTGAGCATAACCAAGAAGTCAAGCACAATATACTGAAAGAGAAGTGGACAAGAGCTTGAGCTTGAGCTTGAGCTTCTAACCAATACTCCATTAATTTGCACATGGAAGACTCATATGTTGATGTATGATGAATGAAAGAAAGAGGGTGCACTTTCCCATCCCTACATAAAATGCCACAAATTATGATGATAACTAGTAAACTACAATAAGCAATATAGACGATGGTGAGGTACATGATAGCACATTTTTATATCACCTCATGTTCTGTAAGATTGCTTGATTATATGCAGTCCGCTCCTCCTCATACAATACACGTTGCAAATCTATAAAGGAAGTCAATGGCGAATCGAGATTGAGAAGAGATAAGGTTGGCAAAACATAAAGCGGAATTTCCTTCCTGACAAATTCTGCACCACTGCCAGCAACAAAAGCCATTATAAGATTCATGTTAAGGACTGCTTATTGCCAACTCAAATATGTAAGACACTGTCATTTGATTACGTAAATGCACAAGGATCACCCTGAGCATAAATATTTCAACAAGAAAGGAAGAAGTTAATAACGAAAGAAGAATGATACGATAATGTGAAAATATATACCTAAAACTACCAAAGACAATAATTAATCCGCAGATCATTCAAACCATTCATATGCTCCATAAATAGGATCTTCTTCAATGAAAATTAAGATTCCTAAACTTCCATAGAGAGCATACTTCACTTAATGTAAGAAGGTTAATTGAACACAGTTTTTTCCTCTTTATCTTTTTTTTTTTTTTTTTTTTTTGGGGGGGGGGGGGGTGTTAGATACAAGAAGGATATTCACAAACAAAGCAAAAAAGTATTATGTTTCCTACTTCAAGAAAACCCTATTCAACATGCAATTAATTAAAGAGATGTGCATGAATATATCCCTCCCGGTTTTGAGCTCCTTCCAAATTGCTAAAGCAATTATTGGAAGCATTTAATAAAGAAGCTGAGCCTGTATAGACCCAAGCTTGGGTCCATTGCCTGTTGAACTTGTGGTCTTCAAAATAACTTTACTTTTAAGTGGGGAAAAAAACTCCCTAATTTATGGGGGGAAAATGCCTAGAGCAAAATGACCATTGCAAAATGACTTCTTGTCTATCACAATTACATCGTTCTTCATTTTAACTTGCTCTGTCACTTTTAAAATCTTTTTAAATGAAACTTAATTCAAGTTCTACTTTAAGAAGTAAAGGAGCTCTACTGCTTCTGGCATAAAAACTAGAAGCCAAATCTCCCACCCTAGAGAGAGGTTAGACAGTCAACGGACACCTATTATCTATGAACTTTCCAACATACGAATTCCATCCAGTAACCTTCCTCAACAAATTTCAACCTTTCTCACTCTTCTTTTCTCTCTGTACACAACACCGTTATGTGTCTGAATGTATGAGATAGCAAAAAGTGCATCTCATTTCCTATTCGTCCCTAGCTTTCCAAACTTTCAACCATTCTAGTTAAATAATTGAAGTCAGGCATTTAACTGACCCAACCTTAGCTTAGAGTAGAGGTGTCCAAGATCAAATGAACATGAGCCGAAGCCGATTACTTGAAATTGCAGTCGAGCCAAGCTTGGGTAGCCTGGTAATTGACTGGGCTCTAATTATTGCAGTCCTATCAACATTCACTCTCATAATTCCTTTGAAAACACATTGAAATTATCCTAATGATATATTTGAATACGAATCAGACAAGCAAGGAAACATACCGTGGATCTTCTCAAACCAAGTCAATAACTAGAACCATCCTATTCAAAGTAGTAAAAATAATTAATGTGCTCTTTACTCTTTAACTCCATTTCCAAAGCAACGAGTAAAAACCAGAAAACTACCGGACACTTCTACCGAGTTCTTGGAGGATGCAATTAAGGGATTGAAACAAGGTTTGTGTGAATATGTACCTCATTTCCAGATTTGAACGGTGCATTGCTTCTTGCATACTTTCTGACATATCCATGGGGTCTATATCAGTGATGGTGTTTTCTAAGCTGTTGATGTGGTGCCTTTCTCCAGTTATGTCTCTCCCTAGATAGTTGGCATCAGCGTTAGCGAAGAAACCCCCCAAGTCTGATGATCTTCGCCCACCCTTGTCAATCAGATGTTATCAAAATGCATCAACATAAGAATCAAAAAGGGATGGTTAAACATGAAACAACAACATTCTGAGAAGCAAAAGGCCAGATAATTGAAAATATTGTCATTCTACACTGACAGGTCAAATAGTCACCCAGAGTTAGCCTTTTTCAACACCCAACACCTAAGAAAAGGCTCACCATCTGATGGTCCACTTAACAGATAAAAACTAGTTTATTGGATGGACTTTTTTCAATCTATGAATAATTTAATCAATTCAAAATCAGGAAAATAATACAATTTTCCAAATGAATCTAGTGAATTTGGACAGCATCATAACCCATAATTTCCGTTACATCTTGTTTCAAGGAAGAAAAGGAAATGAGTATAAAAGCGCTTGACTCAATGTACAGGTCCTAAGACCTTTCAATTGAAGCATTGTGAGGAAGTTCCAGGGATAAACTAATGCATTTCCACATTTTATGATGTTTTCATAGCCCCATTACCCAGATTAAGCAATAGACTCCTTTTCATAGCTGAGATCAAAAAATATACCTTAGAAGCCCCAGCAGCTGTTCTTGAATCACCTGTGTCCTGTTCAAGGCTTTCGGCCCTTGCAGATCCAGATCTTGTCAGTGAGTTCTCAGAGGAACTTATAGAAGATTCTATATCTATAACAGAACTTCTGCGCACAGGAGATAGAGAAACAGGTCTCAACATGTGATTCTGCTTCCCATCCAAGGACTGGAATGCAATAACTTGGATTCTTCCCACCTGAAACAGTTCCAATGATTTGTGAACTTAGCCACTATCTCAGATATTTTTGCCAACCTAAAATAGTTCCAATAGTTTGACTAGAAAACAAATTAAGCAAACCTTGTGCGCATCTTCACTAAAACAAGAAAATATCAACCCAATGAACCCAGGATCAAGAAGTTGATACATAGCCTGAGTCCGCACATCTACAAAAGTTAAAAGCCAGAAACATTTCTTAATTTCAAGTTACCACTGGAAACACTAACAAGGATCTGAAGGAAAACTGATTCGGTATATATTTTCCACTCTAATTGTTGACCAGGTGCAAATAATTGGTATACAACATTAATACCATGTGCAAGCTGAAGAACAAAAGAAGCTAATGAGCCCCAAGGAAGTTTTGCTAACTATCTTAAGCACATGTGTGTTCAATTACTCTTTTATCTTGAAGAGACTAGACATACGAAGCACACCTTATCTATCAAATACACAATGTTCAGGATGGCATGTGTGGATTTGCATAAATCACAACAAACTCATCCACAAATCACTACTCAATATGCTGGTGCTCAACACCAAAGGTAGTATCCTCATGACTAACTCGAGGAAAACATATGTGATGCATGAAAAATTAGAATACTTTCATCGGTAATATTATTAAACTGTCATTCTCTTTCCCCAAATAAAAATCTTAGGAAGGAGAAGGCACAGATATACAGCCGGTTACAAACTTAAAGAGAAACCACACTCTTCCATTAAATGGGGTGGTAATTATTCACTTAAACTGCTGAAATTTTTCCAATAGAGTAGCTTTTTGTTTAGCGTTATTTGAAGTTTATTAAGGACAAAGAAGGGAAGACTGAACAGTTTACTTGAGAGGTCTCTCTCTCAATATAGAGCAATGGATGATTTCAAAAAAAAAAAAGAAGCAGTATTTGTAGTACAAATCATCCATAGTGCTATGACACTTACCGACATGGGAAGGGAGAACTGTGATATGAGGATGCGAATGGTACCATCCTATCACCCTTGTTGTTCTTCCTGTTGCCACGGTCATTCTGTGATACATAGTTAAGTGGACAAGGTCACAACTACTCTCAACTTTACCAATAGGTGGGACAATTAAATGAACATCAAATCACTAGATCAGTGCCGACAACGAACACAAGGACCTCACAAGTTTGTTGAATCTACTTTCTAGTAGATCACCCATTGCAAAGCGGCTATGGTATGTAAGATTGGATCGAGCACTTTAGAAGTCCACAAGGTTTTCTAATTCTACTCTCAAACAAACAAGGGGGTGGAGACCCATATTAATACTCACTCAAACCAAGTCTACCATGTGACAAGGACGTAACCTAACATTCCACGCATGATTATTCAATAACATCCATTTGATTTACAGAGCAGTCCGAAATTCAATTGGCCAAAAATAACCAGAGACTAGTGTTGAAAACACAAATCTTTTGTCTTTTTGCTGCCACCCCATTAATTGATTTGCCATGCTCATATGTTCTAGGCAAGAAACTTGTGTTGCATGAGAATGTACGCCCGTAATTTGCATTATGAACTATCTTTTGTTTCCACAATTTTGATAGATTTCAACAAAATCAAAATATGGTTGTCTGCATGAATTGTGAAAGCATAGGAAGGATATCTCAGCCTGAACTGATGCAGCAGTCAACTGTTCAGGGTTAGTCTCTACTCGATCTTTCCGCCGATCAGAACGTGGTTGCGGCAATGCTCCCCAAATCAGTGCAGTCACACTTCCATTTTTTGAGTGCTGAAACAGCAAAATAAGTACATTTTCAATCAATCAGGTCAATCATACCCTGTACAGAAAAAAATAAAACATTTTCAATCAATCAAAATAAGTACATTTAGTGGCACTTTAACTACCCAGCAGTCCATGAATCTCGAAACCAAGAGCCCTAAAGGAATAGGTGGGGTGAGATTTAAGTGTCATGTCCATGAAAATAGTCCCACCCACATCGCCTGATAGAAGGATATTTGGCTATATAGGCAGATGCTCTGTTTAAACTGTTGTGACATGTTTTAAAGTCGCGAGGTAACCCAAAGCGAAAAACATCACATACAGTTAGATTGGGTTGTGACAATTGGTATTAGAAAAATATTTACCTCATGATTGGTGGGGTGAGTCTCACATGAACATATGCATAGACTTGCCCCACACCGGAATGTGTAGGGATAGGTGGCAGGCAACAGACCACTAGACCAAGATTCCTAGGCCTGTGGCCAAGATGGAGTGTTTGGTTGGATAATATCATTAGGCTCACTAGTGTGGTTGGACAATATTGTTAGGCCTCATAAACGGACAATCTATCTAATGACACCTTTTAAAATTATGAGACACAACGCAAAGCGAACAATAGCATATGCAATTTGATCAAGTTGCAACAAATCTAATTTAGTAATGAACCAGGATCAGCAACTAAGACACTTGAGTGCAAGCCAATCAGTATTTTCCTTACTAGAACGCCATCTATAAGAATTGTCAAGGTACTTCATTAGAATATCATAAGCTCGATCATTTCTCACCTTCAGTTTTCAGCAGAAAAGTTATCAAGCACACAAATGACCAAAGCCACATTACTCATGACAAGTACATCGAAAAAAAAGGACAAAGTAGTACAATTCTTCATTTGGTTAAGAGAAGACGCCAGAAAAATTAAAAACTAGTTTGTGTATCTACTTTTTTTTCTGATAAGATCGAAACAATTTCATTGAAATAAATAGAAGTACAATAAAGTGCAAAAAAAAATCCACCAACATTTGCAAAAAGTGTATAAACGGAACTACATACCCACCCCCAATTGTTACGAAGGAAAAAATAAGGGGGATGCTAATAACTTGACTCTATCACATAGCAAATCCTCATACTCAACTTTGTCTTCAAACCTAGCCTGTCTAATCTGTTTCAACTTGATGGATATTAAAATACTTACTCTACCAATCAATATTAAATACTCGCACTAGCAAACCTAAGAAGTACACAATACAGAAACCCACATTCTCACTTATACAAAGTACGAACCAAGGAAGATCCAATTCAAAAGATCTAGTGGCAACCAAAGGGAATAGCCCAAAAACAATAAGTCCAAATATTTCAACTTAATTCCTCTATAGGTTCTCAAAGACTACCTGACATAAGAAAGTACATTGCCCAAAAGTTTGCGTTTTTCATGTAAATATGCACCATAAAGACTAAGTTCGTGTCTATTGCTAGAAGCAGGAAAGAAAATCCAACACAACAAATTGTGGCTCAAAACAATAAGAATTCAAATCAAAATTCAAATGGGACTAATATTTTGAAAACCCAATTCAGGAATCAGTCCGAAGTCCACATTGTTCAAGTAAAATGTGATCAATACCCACGAACTCATTTCAACACAAATTCATATCTAAATAAAAATAGAACAAGAGTATGAAGAGGGCATTGAGGAAAATAAACAAAAGCCACATTTTTGTCAACAATACCCAACCAATTTAATTTAAACTTAACAAAACAGAAAAAAATGTTAAAGCCATTTTTCTAATAGTTGAGCATGCTTCGTACACAACTGATGAAATTACTGTGAGTCCACAGAGAAATCTATATGCAAAAAGAATTTGAAATACCATAAGGGAAAAACCCAAACCCTCAAAATGTACACTGATTCTACTTTGGTTTGAAGTAATTTCCCACCTTTAAAATGTAATAGCAATAGTTCCACAAGACATAAGAAACAGAAACCCTTTATAAACAAAACCTTAATGACTGAATAAAAGGGATCGAACTTAGACCTGAATATCCCCAAGAAGAAGCCCCATAATCTCTTCAGTCTCGGTAGACAATGCATGAGTGAGACACGTTAACCACACATCCTCCGACATTTTCACACTCGTTAGAGACATCCTCGCTTCACAAACTTTATCAGATTTCTCTCTCTCAAACCTCTCCCAGTGGAACACGGAAAAAAAACTTTGAATTTCGATGATGGGAAGACGAACAGAATTGAAGAAAGAGAGAGAGAGAAATGGCTCAGCTTCCGGGACAATGTGCGAACTGCGCTACATGATTATACTATGTGGCCGACAGTAGGTTAGTTAAATAGTAGCAGTAATCTAGACCGTTCAATTGTTTGGCAGGTACAATCTATTTTTATTTTTGTTTTTCATAAATGGTGGAGTTTAACTTTTAACTTTTATGTCTTTTATCCTATACTATAACAATTATTTTATGGATATCCCTCCTCGTTTTTTTCAGTTCTTAGAATTAGTTGATGCTGCACATAGTCCTCCCTGACGTAGATATAAACAAAGGAGAGAGATATGGGAGCAAGAAAGACTTGGAATTATTAACTTAAAAAAATATTTTTTATGAAAAATATTAAATAAACTTAAAAACTTAACTTCATGAATTATTATTATAGAATAGATAGAGGGTTTCAATAAATACTGAGATTCATAATTAAATAAATGATAAATACAAATCAAATTTTTAAATATATGTAAAATTGTTTTGTTTTTATAATTACATGCTATATCACGTCTCTTATAACCTTACCTCCCCACTCTTCGCTAACTAACTACCATTCGCTTAATCCAAATATTTGTATCATCTTATAAATTTTTTCATTCTTCATTGAACTTTTCAAAGAACGATTGAAAAAAGAAAAATGAAAAGGAATGATAGGTTATGCATCCCTTACAGCCACGAGTGCTAACCACTTGTACAAAATTATTTGTGTTATTGATTCAAAAAATAATTGCACTCTAAAAAAAAATGTTAGAGAAAGTGATTAATCAATTGAATTAAACTGACGAGATGTGAAGTTGTACGTCCTATGTTTAATTCTTATTAACTGTGTGAAGTCTATGTTTTAATCACAATTTCCTTGGCTAAAAGCCTACAATAATCTCAGCATTTGAAATGATAAACAAAAAGCTCACGGTGTTTGCAATGATGGGAACAACACAAATAATGTTATGTTTCACTTGATCCCAAAAACATGCTATGTCAGAATGCCGAAAACAACATCAATAAAACACCCTTGAATGGCTCCGGATGTCCACACAGCGCTGACATACTGCTTCCGAAACATACAGCAAATATAGGTGGAGAATGCCCTTCATCGGCTAAGCCATGGATACTCGGTTGTTGCTCGTGGTGAACCTTAAATTGATATTCTCTCAAGTGAGAACTCTGGATCCACTGGCTCCTCTCTGCCGCTCCACTGCCCAAACAGTTCAACACAGCTTGTGTACCTGATATTCATCAAACTAGTTATGGTCTCCCATTATCGATTAATCACTCATGACATCAATTCCCTCGACATCACTGAATGTTTCAACTTCTTGGCTGTGTTGGTCGGTGTCAGTTTCCATGGCATCTTCGGATCCCTCAACATCACTTTCATCATTGTCCTCATAAATAGCAGGTGTTATCGTGTCATTTTCATCTGCTTCGTCATCAACAGTCTGCACAAGGACAAACTAGTGTGTTAAAATATGGCATACTCTTAACCTTTGTGTTGCCATTTAGCGGTGCACTTACCCCTGCATAAAGCAAGTCTAAGCAACTTGATAGTTGAAGTGCGGGGTGGAAAGTCGAAACTCTGGATTCAATGAGCTGCAAAAACAATGAGAAAACTGCATTGAAAATAAATACAATAACTCAATGTGTTTTGCCCATAGCATACATCCGTGAGAGATAAATAAACAAAGAGAATTGTGTCATTTGACTGCAAGTGAAATTGGCCAGCTATAATTAGTCAATATTTGCAAGGTTCTCGGGCAACTGATAGAACAATCTATTCCCTAAATTCCAATCACACAGCCACACTTAGAATTCATGTTGATTATTTACTTCTTCACACCACGAAGATGATTCATCACATAACCAGGAAAAAAAAAAAGAATGTGGTCTTTCTGAAATATTTAAGTAAAATAGATCTGCAAGGCTGATCACAAAATCGAAAACAATACTTTCAAAAAGCTTCAATTGAGTAACAGGTCTTTGGCATGAGTCCCAAACAACTTCATACATAAAATCAGCATGTCACCAGTAAAAGATGCTACCTGATAAAAGGAGTTGAGGGCCTGCAAAGAAGACTCCTGAGACATTATTCCACTTGCATGTTGAAGAAGTAAACTTCTTAGCCATGGAAGGGCACAAGCCAGTATTGCACCCCTGTAATGAGAATCAACCATGGGGAAAAAATCAATTCCAAAGAATCTGGAACTTAATTTTGAAGAAAATACCTTTGCTGAAGAAAAATCGTTAAGTATGCTGAGTATGTATAGCTATAACCAATTATCTATTGTTATACCTAGACTGGATTATAGATATGAGGAACTCCAAAAGCTTGAGAACATGAGATGAATTCAAAAGTGCCACTGAATTTCTAATTACCTGCACAGGAAAAATTTATATATGATATTTCCATAAGAGAATTGCACCTTAAATATTGTCAGCACAAAACCATAGGAAGGGAAGTGAAATAAGACCTTCTCATCTTGCCTATATAAGCAATCTAACAGAAGCGCTCGATCATCGGCATGTAGCGCTTGCTTAAGCAGAACATGAACTGAATCTGCACTTGGAGGCTTTGTTTGTGGAGAAGGTCCTAAATTCTCAATGCCCTTGACTTCATTGTTAGCTATTAGATTTAAACTCGCAAGTTTCTCACCCATCGTAGGCTCATTTATATCATAATCAATTTCAACTCCATTTGTAGGTTCTCCATGACCTGTACACGATACAACAGCTGGGTTATTCTTTATGATTGTCTAGTGTTATTCCATGTAATACATATTCCTGCAAGGTTAACTATGAGGAAAACTAGCATTGGCATAGCAGTCTAATAATTGATTGGTTGAAATGTCAAACCTCCAGATATACTCAACTAAATAATACCATCATAACTCATGGTTTGGCCATAAACTCATCCAAAGAAGCGCGCCGTATAAAAAATGCGAGATGTTTTCTATTAACCCATCCAACAGGAAAATTCTACAATTCTTGAAATGGTGTAGAGACCTCTCAGACTTGTAAAGTTAAGGGACAATGGTCCATTTGATGCACAGCTCAACCCAATCAGAAGCGAGTCAGCCTCTAAAATATCATCAAGCAATCCAATGAAGTTGAGGCACCACAGAGAGGATGGCAAGAAAGTTTTTCAATCTTGATTAAAAAAAGGCTTTTTGATAGCTGCCTTTGAATTATAATGATCTTCAAAAAGTTAAGAAATGGAATCCTTACAATTATCCAAAGACAAAAAGGAAAGGCGAAAGCAAATAGTTGCATGTGGTAGCTTACTTGTGACCTGAGCGTGTCAGCTTAAATGGGTGCTTGATTATTCATATGGTCTTTCAGGTATTCATGTTTTGAGGTTTCATGAAGCTTTAAGCATTGTTACATCTTACTCTTGAAAAGGAGGGTGAAACGAAGAAAGGAACACTAAAAAGAATCAACGACAAAGATGAAAGATGGCAATTCAGATAGACTATAAGGAGGGCTGTCATACGTGCCATTACCATTATCAATTAAGTCTCCTGTTTTTGAAAAGTCTGGATCAGATGCGGCTCGTTTCTTGTTCGTTTTTTCTTTTTTGATGGACCCAGCTACTGCTTCTAACTCCATATCAGGTAGGCCTGGAACAAATTAATCTGGAATTAAACAAGAAGCCAATTGGAAAAACAAATCACACAAAATAGAACAATTCTCCAATTATATCAGATGAGTATCACATAAAAGGAATCAACACTGATTTTCGTAACAGTAACCCATCTCTTGAGAAATTGACCATCTGACATCCTACCTGACGCTTAAATGCCTCAAAATGAAAAGGGATATTCGACAAACAAAATTTCCCACAAAGATAACTGAAAGTGTGTTTACATCACAAGAATGCCATTAGAAATCAAAATGCTTATTAATATTGAAACTAGTTGTGAGGCCCAAATTTCTGATTTAGATTGAATGCCAAAATAACGCGAAAACAAAAAAGAGATTAAGAGATATACAATCTTGGTGGCTGGTTAGTCACTTTGAAATGTAGAAGAAAAAACATTATTAAAATAATTATCTTGCTGTTGTCTGCCTTCCACATAGACAGTTTTCATAGACTGATAAACATAAAACCCAGAAAGCAAAAAAGAGTTTTAAGAGATATATAATCCTGGTGGCTGGTTAGTCACTTTGAAATGTAGAAGAAAAAACATTATGAAAATAATTATCCTGTTAAACATAAAACCCTGCAGAGCCATAACAAAAGCAGTAGCAACTGAGTTCAAGAAAAAGTAACCCTAGAGGATGCCAGCTAGCATGGTAAAGTCTCAGATAGGTATTTATAAATGCTGGGATGGAGTCCCACTTTCACAGGTTTTGGTAAGACATCATGTGTATAAAGCAGGTCTAACATCAACTGTCTAGCCAATAGGAGCCTTGAGTATGTGCGTTTTCCTCAAATGAATGAGAAGAAGGGGAAGGGGGGGGGGAGATGAATTCAGGTGGGGAAAAAAAAAAGGATTGGTGATGTAGGAATAAAACAAATCTCATTGCTTTTCAATCTGACAGTAAGCAAGAAACCAAAAGTTTGTCTCACCCCTTCCAGAAGGAACACCATTTTCTTGATCAGTATTAACTGCTTTCACCGTCTCATTTCCGGCAGCTATGACGATATCTTCCCCTGGGCTAGTAATGTCCACTACACTAAACTGAGGAGAATCTGTTGAACCATATACGATAAGGGCTCTTACTCGCCCATCCATCTCTAATGAATGTAATCTGGCAGCAATGATGGTAGTGCGGCTCTTCCTAGTTCTTCCACTGGCATGCGGGTCTGTTTTGTCCTTGTTGGCTTTAACAGTAATCTTAGTTGGATTTGTATCTTGCTCAGAGACGGTTTTCA